GTTTCGTTCGTAGCGATTTTTTCTTTGTCCAAGTGCTCTTTATCTATTTTGTATCTCGGTACATGCCCACAGCTTTGGGTGATCACTCCATGGTAATACATTTAACATTTAACAAGTCTCTTTTGCCTTATAATAGGTCAAAGTTCATATCTGTAGTTCTCTCTCTCTCTCTCTCTCTCTCCTCTCTCTCTCTCTCTCTCTCTCTCCTCTCTCTCTCCTCCTCTCTCTCTCTCTCTCCTCGCGTCTCTCTCTCTCTCTCTCTCTCCTCTCTCTTCTCGTCTCCTCTTTCTCTTTCTCTCCCTTCTCTCTCTCTCTCTCTCTCATCGTCTCTCCCCCTCCTCCCCCATCTCTCTGCCCCTCCCTCTCTTTCTTTCTCTCTGCCCCTCTCTCTCTATGCCCCTTTCTCCGCCTCGCTCCCTTACTACCTCATTCTCTCCCTCATTTAGCTGCTCGCAACACTCCAATGTTTACGCGAGTACACCCCCAGCCACTCCTAGCTCTTGAGTGCATTTATATGTGCGGTGCGTAGACCTCGGCACATTTTATTCATCCGCTTTCATGTGCTTTGTATTGCAATTCCCTGTATCCATGTATAGACCCTTTATCGCTGGGTTTTTCTCACCTTTTATCGGTTCAAACCTGCCAGCCGATCCATTGTACATACACTGGTCACCCTTTCTTGTTGTATATAGTGTGCACTGCAGTGATAAAAAAAATTATAAAATACTAAAAAAAATTCTAAAGGTTTCAATATTCGAAAGATTCTAAATTTCTCAGAAATTTCAAGTATTGATTTTACAGTCTGAACTACACTTCTGCCAGACTGACTACTGAATGCGTGCTGAAATGATTATGTCATCTCGGAATGTTTGTCTTTCCAACTGTTTCTGCATCACCCAACGTGAAATTGCGATCTAATGCTTTGTGTACTGCACACGTTACGGGTTCTGAATAATGTCAATACTAAATATATAAACCGGGGTGTAGTAGCTTAATTCCTTAAACACAGAGTCGCCTCGGCTGATACTGTCTGGCCACTGGATCAATATATAGCCATCGCATGCGTGCGTGTACTGAAACGTCAGCCCTTACGTATGGCACTATGGAAGAAACGTGGCGTGGGAGGCGTAGTGTGTAACTGACGCATTTGTGGTGGCAAGGCGCGCTTGTGTTGTCATCTGTTTCGTCTCCTAGGTAGCGAGGGCCGTTCAATATCACCCGTGGCTGTGTACCATGTTGTACTACCCGGTGTGTGTGGTGTGTGTGTGTGTGTGTGTGTGTGTGCGTGCGGCGTGCGTGCGCGTGCGTGCGTGCGTGCGTGCGTGCGTGTGTGTCGTGCGTGCGTGTGTGTGTTGTGTGGTGTGTGTTTGTGTGTGTGTGTGTGTGTGTGTGTGTGTGTGTATGTATGTGTGTGTGTGTGTGTTGCATGTGTGTGCGTGCGTGCGTGTGTGTGTGTGTGTGTATGTATGTGGGTGTGTGTGTATGTGTGTGTGTGTGCGTGTGTGTGTGCGTGCGTGCGTGGGTGTGTGTGCGTGTGTGTGTGTGTGTATGTATGTGTGTGTGTATGTATGTGTGTGGTGCGTGTGTGTGTGTGTAGTATGTGTGTGTGTTGTGTGCGCACGTTGATGAATTTGGCCGCAGCTGTCGCTAATTGATCGAGGTTACAAACATAACGTACAAATCGAGGCTCCTGGCGATCCAAGGGATTGCCTGTGATGATATCAAGAGTACATAATAAGAATCTCTATTATGTACTGTTGCTGATATGTTGCTTGGTTGCCAGTACGCGCGCACACACACAACACACACGCGCACGCGCCCGCACAGCACACACACACACGCACGCGCACACGCCACACACACCACACACCGCAAACACACACACACGCACACGCAGCGCACGCACACACACACCACGCGCACGCGCACACGCACACGCACACGCGCCACATACACACAAACAAAACACACACACACACACACACACACGCACACGCACACGCACACACACCCGCACGCACACGCACCGCACGCACACACACACACACACACACACACACACACAACCATATACGCACAGCTCTGTTGCATAAAGTAAGCAGCTGAAGATGGTAGCGACGATCCACACAAGTCCTGCCTTCACCTAATAAGGATCATGTCAGGGGGAAAGGTCATCATGCAAATATGGAATATGGTTAGCTCTCTGCTATAAATATAACACTGTAGTGGGGCAGATATGTGTCAATATTTAGACGAATTGGAGGTTTTGTGGGGAAAAGCACAAAAATTGGCAGTGAATGAAGTTAAGGGTATACTAAATGATTTTCGATATAGTGGCAAGATGAATTTTTTTCCGTAACTGCTGTAACAATGGAAAATTTAAAAATGGCCGCCGCGCGATTCTCAATATCTTTTTTGAAGTTCCATCTTTGTACTGGTAACAAGAAGGTTGAAGGCTTGAAGCGTATTTTTGGTTACTATATTGTTCTTTTATTTTGTGCGTTGTTGCAGACTCGTCCTCCTACCGGACGGTAAGCACAATCTACATTTCAAGTACGCACACGACGTAGTTCAATCAAATGGTGACAGAGTTTCTCACGGAGAAATCATAGTTCTGACTGCTTACCACATACGCAGTTGGCTTCCCGTGGAAGATCCGTGTGTGAGGGGGTTACAGGTATAATTACCTCTGCCACGGAGTGGAGCGGAGGTAATGTAATCGGTCTCGTGTTGTGTGTGTGTGTGTGTGTGTGTGTGTGTGTGTGTGTGTGTCCAGTCCGCGCGCGCGCGATCGATAGCCGCGTCGAGTCAGCGAGCGGCGAGTCAGCAGCAGGCAAGTGAGTCAGCAGCAACCACCAGCGAGCGGCAAGTCAGCAGCCGCCACAGCGAGCGGCGAGTCCAGCAGCAGGCGCGAGTCAGTCAGCAGCAGCCAGCAGACGAGCGGCGAGCCAGCTCGTAGCACATACATGTTACATGCTGGCGGAGGTATGCACTCTCCGTGAGTGCCCTCTGTCTAGTTACAGTGAGTTATATGATATTTGATAGCATAGGAATAATATAGATAGACTATCTATATATCATCAAGAGCGTATAAAGAAGGCTTGATATCATCCATATCTATATATCTATATGGCCTATCTATCTATGTTGTTTCTATGCTTGAAGTGGTGCCGTTAAAGGTGCATGCCCCTTTTTCACAGTGGTTACCTTTCTTGTTTACATGTGTTTATATGTATATATATATTATATATATATATATATACTCTGGTATATGATAGGTTATTATGATTATTATTATTAATGATCGTTATTACTGGGAGCAAGCTTTATGTAAGCATGAATATTATAATATAATATATGAGAGAGCCTGCACGCGTTGGCACCTGCCAGTGAAAACTGTGAATCTCTTCATACCTGCCCAGTGGGCATACGACAAAAAAAATAATATATGATATATGAAGCATCAAATCTCCTGTAATGGGAACACTTGGAATGGATTTCTATATAAAAATTTAAATGCGAGGGGACGGTATGAAGAATCGCATGAAAACGTGTTTTTTCAGTGTAGAACTATAATAATGTGTGAATGCGAAAACATCAATGGTGTATTTTTTGACGTGTTGGAAAGGTTGTCATTGTTATCATTATAGATAATAAAATATTTTGATTTTTTTTAAATTAACCCAGTTTTTACCATTGATTAATGACTTTACGATGACGTATTAAGCAGCATGCCCGTTGACGCACACACGTACATTTAACAGTGTTACTACACACGTTCGAACAATAGTTTTGGTTTACACTATACAAGCGTGACAGTAACTTTTTGTTTGATTGCTGCTACTACTTCTGCTACTGCTGCTGCTAGTGATGTTGCTGCTGCTGCTGCTGCTGCGGCTGCTGCCTTCTAGTTCTACCTACCACGCTGCTACTGCTGGCTGCTGCCTGCTGCTGCTGCCTGCTGCTGCTGGCTGCTGCTCGCTGCTGCTGCTGCTACTGCTGCTGCGACTGCTGCTGCTGCCGCCGCTGCTGCTACTACTGCTGATGCTGCCGCCGCTGCTACTGATGCTGCTGCTGCTGCTACTGATGCTGCTGCTACTGCTGCTGCTGCTGCGACTGCTGCTGCTGCCGCCGCTGCTGCTACTGCTGCTGCGACTGCTGCTGCTGCTACTGCTACTGCTGTTGCTACTACTGCTGCTGCTTCTGCTGCTGCTGCTGCTGTTGCTACTACTGCTGCCATTGTTACTTCTACTACTGCTACTGCTGCTGTACTAAATGTTCAGTTCAGTACTAGTAGACAGCGATCATAGGTAGATGAACTAACAGGAACTTACTAGGGCTATTACTCTACAGGAAACGGTAAGGCTGATTATCAGTCTGTTGCGTTACTAGTGCTTTAAAAGTCGTAGTTTAGATGCGACGGTATTCCTACCTATGTCATTTTACTTAAAACCATAATTAGTTCATTCACACCACTTCTACAGCGGATATCGTTACAGCAATTAGGACTCGGAGAACGTGCTAGTGTCTGCTGCTGCACAGTGCCACAAAAATAAGGAAAATCGGAAAGAAAAAAACAACAATAAAAAATGGAATTAAACACCGCGCAGCTTTGTTCCCGTTAACATGCGGGAAGCGAGAGACAACTCGATCAATTGTTTTTGCCGAATGCCACGAGCACCTGTTCACACAGTGTGCCGTCGAACAGCAGATAAATTTCTACCTGTTGGTTTCGGGCGGTGGCTCAAACGCAGGTAACACTCCCAGGTGTAATGATCAGCTAGTGGCGATGATATTCGTGTGCGCACGCGCGGTCTGTCTGTCTGTCTGTCTGTCTGTCTGTCTGTCTGTACGCGGTAGCCGCGGCAGCGTTGTGCCGTACCGTATCGTTAACGCGAATTAACGGCTTACAAAATGGCTGTTAGCGCGTCTCTAATGCGCGGGAGCGTTGTCCGCCGCGTTCATTCATGCCGCCGTCGGTGTCGTGCTGTGGAGATTGCCCCTCGTTGAGACCGCTAGAGATTCCACACACAGCAGCAGCCGAGCTGCGTGCGTGCGTGCGTGCGTGCGTGCGTCCTCCCCGCTCCCCGCTGTAGCGGTATGTAGTCCCGGCGGTATGTAGTCCCGCTATAGCGGTATTGACATGTGCGTGTGCCACCCGCGCTCCCTCTCTCTCTCTCTCTCTCTCTCTCTCTCTCTCTTTTTGTTTTGCTGAATTGACAGTTTTTCGGAGATGAATGTCGTTTTGTGTTTTATCAATGGAGCAGACTTAGACCTTAGACGTGAATGATGTGCACTGGCTGCGTATGATTACAGGAAATCGTAAACGTGTATGCATATATTGCTGTTTGCACACTGGCACGACGTGAAAGTGGTACAGCGGCCGTGTGTATGTAGTAGTAGCGCTGAGAGGGTCTATGTCCCCCGGGGTACTGCCGGAACGTACCTTGGGTACAGTCCGGTATACCGGAACGTACCCTGGTACTATCTAATATGTCGGACCGTACCTCGCCTACTCCACTAACGAGTCTAGGGAGTCGCCTACGCCTACTCCCTAACCCTAACCCTAACCATATCAGATAGTTACCAGCACTGGCGCCCACAGGTCTTAAGAAAGTAGAAGCACAGAAGGATAAAATCCTCAGTGATAATAAAAAGCAAGCGTCGTAGGCCCGCTGCATGCTAGGGGGTCTGGGTGCATGCCCCTCCCTGAAAATGTTTGAATGGTAGACGTCTGGAGATGCAATCTGGTGAGTCTTGCGAGAGAGATTTTGGAACAAAATGTAGGAACAAAATTGCTTAACCCAAAATTTACTGGAAGCACTGTGCTTCCAGTGCTTCTATCTGCGGGCGCCACTGGTTACCAGGTAACGTTCCGGTATAGCGGACCGTACCCAGGGTACGTTCCGGCAGTACCATGGGGGACATAGACCCTATGAGCAGTAGTAGCAGCGGCGGCTAAAACTCATGATAATCGGCAGCTCTGTTTACGTTTACAGTCATCGATTGACGACTGTTGCAGTAGCCCTAGCTGAGGTCGTAACTGTAGAGTAGTGAGAATTAACACTGACCGGCTCCCTGACTCTGATGTACGATAACTAACTATTAACGGACGGGATATGTTATGCGGCGAGTTTTTGTTCGCAAATTCAGGGAAGCCGCAAAAGTGGATTCTGTTTTAAATTTAAAATGCAAACGAGTGTGTATCGATCTATACATAATTGCATGTATAACTGCGTAAAGAAATCAATACTAAGATAATCGTTTTACCGATATATTTACCGAATATAGAAAGTTTAATAATGCGTGCGTGTATGCGGGCGTGCGTGCGTGCGTGTATTCGTGCCTGCGTGCGTGCGTGCGTGCATGTGTACGTGCGTGCGTGCATGTGTATTTTTAAGGTTCATTCTAGACTGTTCGGATCTTGTGTACAAATGACACACCGTAAGCCATGTATATCACAGAAAGTCTCAAATCATTAACTTGTAGTCTGTCTTTTTATTTTCCAATCAATTATATTTTTACTTGAATGACAAAAAGAGAATTTTGTTTATCAGTGACAACCCTGGCATTATATATAAATTATACAATTGGCATTACAGCTTTGCTTATGCGGTTTTTCTTGTTTTTTTACTAAACCCATGATAGGAGCATAAAACAAAGATGGGTTTCTAATGTGATATCACAGAAATTTCACAAAAACGAAACATTAATAATAATCTCTGACAGAATACAAGAACACTGTCATTGCTTAAGTAGCATTTAGGCACCATAATGCTGCTACTAGAGAGTGCAGTTTTGTCTACATACATTTCTTGAGGCGTGAGCTACAGACACAAAACTGTAGAAAGAAGACACGACCATCTTAAAGCCATGACTATCTCATCAATACAACGGTATCGTAAAACATTTCAGCAATGCACAAGTGCTTTAAGTAAACATTAATTTATCCCTGGTATCGATTTACATACAGTATAGTCTGCTGTTTCCCCACACACTATCGGCAGTAGAAGGCTACAACTCTTATCCCTTATATAATAATGAACCAACTAGTTTCTTCGTGCAATATTAAAATAGGGAGTTTTTGCAAGGGAGCTGCAGCTATGAAGTATGTTTAGCACAACAGCATTCCTACTATTCTGCCTCCGGTTCCGACACTCTATCCTCGTCTTCTTCAAACTCTCCTTCTTCATCCTCGGCCGACGCGTCCTGATACTGCTGATATTCAGACACGAGGTCGTTCATGTTAGACTCTGCCTCGGTGAACTCCATCTCATCCATGCCCTCGCCGGTGTACCAGTGGAGGAAAGCCTTGCGGCGGAACATGGCTGTGCAAAACGAGACAAAAAACACAATGAGAAAACGGTAAACGCTGATCACAGAGAGAACAAACTCGCTGCTGTGGTCAACACAAAATACAGTTTACTGCTACAACGCTAATCAACAAACAAAAACTAGCTAGATACCCTGACGGATGGTAATCGCTAAAACGAGATATCGACGTGTTCACACTTTAAACATTTCCGCGAAGACAAATTCATTTATTTCATTTATTCTAATACTAAAATTCTAATACATACTAAATTCATTTACTATATTCTAATACTAAAATTCTAATACATACTAAATTCATTTACTATATTCTAATACTAAAATTCTAATATATACTAAATTCACATTTCGCTCGACGTACCGGTGAACTGCTCAGAGATGCGCTTGAATAGCTCCTGGATGGCGGTGGAGTTGCCGATGAAGGTGGCGGCCATCTTGAGTCCGCGCGGCGGAATATCGCAGACGGCGGTCTTCACGTTGTTCGGGATCCACTCAACGAAGTAGCTGCTGTTCTTGTTCTGCACGTTCAGCATCTGCTCGTCGACCTCCTTCATCGACATGCGTCCGCGGAAGATCGCCGCGACCGTCAGGTAGCGGCCGTGGCGCGGATCGCAGGCGGCCATCATGTTCTTCGCGTCGAACATCTGCTGGGTGAGCTCGGGAACGGACAGCGCTCTGTACTGCTGGCTGCCTCGGCTGGTCAGTGGCGCGAACCCGGGCATGAAGAAGTGCAGGCGGGGGAAGGGCACCATGTTGACGGCGAGTTTGCGAAGGTCGGCGTTCAGCTGTCCCGGGAATCGCAGGCAGGTGGTGACGCCGGACATGGTGACGGAGACGAGGTGGTTGAGGTCGCCGTAGGTGGGCGTCGTCAGCTTGAGCGTGCGGAAGCAGATATCGTAGAGCGCTTCATTGTCGATGCAGAACGTCTCGTCCGTGTTTTCGACGAGCTGGTGTACGGACAGGGTAGCATTGTACGGCTCCACAACCGTGTCGGATACCTAGAATGGGGAGATTGGATTCCTCAAACTTTATCGTTTGCATGAGTTTTGTTTATGAATTGAAAACAAATTAATTATTTAATTCATAGTTAATGATATTAGCAGAATGGGTTGTGTTATTTCGTTCGTGATTTGTTGCATATTTGCAAATGCTGGTCGTTGTGAGTGTGAACTGTAGAGAGAATACAATCGTCTGCTCCTGCTGAAACATCACCATTTCATTCATTGACATATTAGATATAGATATATTATCATAGATTATAGGACGGAATAGTGATGTAGCAACACCACCTACTTTTACCTTTACTTTACTTTTACCTAGTCGCTTACCTTTGGTGAGGGGACAACAGAGAATGTGTTCATGATTCTGTCGGGATACTCCTCTCTGATCTTGGAGATAAGGAGAGTTCCCATGCCGGAGCCCGTTCCTCCACCGAGAGAGTGCGTCATCTGGAACCCTTGCAGACAGTCACAGCCCTCTGCCTCCTTCCGGATCACATCCAGCACAGCATCGACTAACTCTGCACCTTCAGTGTAGTGACCTTTGGCCCAGTTGTTTCCCGCTCCACTTTGACCTTGCGTTAGTAAATAAAGCATAGGATAAAGGACATCATCCTTTGCCGCCATTTCCAGTTACTATGAATAAGAACATCACAATTTGAAGTCAAACTTGACGAGAATAAAAAAGTGCGAACAATTACAGAAGACTTACCAAATACAAAGTTGTCTGGCCGGAAAAGAGATCCGAAGGGTCCAGAACGCACAGAGTCCATGGTTCCTGGTTCCAGGTCAACAAGGATCGCTCTAGGCACATACTTGCCTCCTACCACAGGCAGAAGGATTAAGTATAACACATAACACAGCTGTTTTTTCACTAGGGTTCGGAAACGGGGTATTAACAATAATCAGTGTGCATCCAATATATAAAAGATTTATTCTATATCTTAATGACAAACACCATTACAAATTGAGCTTTTCTGTATACAATAATATCCACTCTGTTCATTGTGAAATTTCTAAATTCAGAGCAGCTCTTCCTAGTTAATTAAAACAAAAAAGTCCATATGACAGTGAATACAGTGAAGGATGCCTATAATATATTTATGCAAAGTTTGGAAATTGTTAGTGACTGGTCACTAACCGGGTGGCAACCTGCGAGATAATACTGTTTTTCATTTCTCAGTTGTATCATGTAAAGTTATACAATGTATAAATCTATACCTTGTGCTTCATTATAGTATACATTTATCCTTTCAAGCTGAAGGTCAGAGTCCCCAATGTAATTTCCTGTTGGGTCAATGCCATGTTCATCTGATATTACTTCCCAGAACTGCAAGATGTCAAGATGGAAAGTATTGTAAAAAAAATTATATAACATGTACAGAATAGTATATGAAACACTAGCTAAAATGCTCCATATATATAATATATCGATTTCAAAATCCTGTTAATTAATTTTGTTTATTTAAATATCAACTGTTATCATATATAGCAAATATAAACTAAACTTGAAAATGGGTATGTTGTTCATTTGGTCAGCTCCAAAAGATAATTCCTTATTGTAACTGTAATGAAAAGACCACCACCACCACCCTCTCGCCCCCTTTTCAAATAGCCATCTCGTATTCGGGGCGGATTAGGGTAGCGGGCTCCAGCAGGTCAGAACCCCCTTTCTCTTGTGACCGCAGAACAATTTTCCGGCATTAACAAATTTGACTCCGTTGAAACCGATTAAAGAAGTGCAACAATCTTTCTCTGAAATACCCCCTCTCCGCTCCGTCTATAACCGACCCCACCCACCCTTCCAGCATTCCTGAACCCGCTCCTGCGCGTGCGCTCACGATCCGCGGTGAAATGCTGCTGCTCAATCAATATCGTGATCGGTATAGCGGGCAAGCATCGAGCTATAGCCGAGTTGGCTTCTGCATGTATAGTGCCGGTATTGCGTATACTCTCGGGAAAACACGCAGCTAGGTTTATATAGAGATCGCAGCTTCCCCGAACATGCTGCATAACACAGCCACGCGAACACGCACACAGCCACGCGCACCCGCGCACATGCATACAGCTACCCGCACACGCACACGCGCACGCACACGCGCAACTCACACACACAAACACACACAAACACACGCACGCACGCACGCACGCACGCACGCACGCACGCACGCACGCACGCACGCACACACACACACACACACGCACAGAGAGACGAGAGAGAGAGAGAGAGAGAGAGGAGGGAGGGAGAGAGAAGGAAGGGAAGGGGAAGGGAGAGAGACGTAGAGAGTAGAAGAGTAAGAAGTAGGACG